GGGGGGGGGGGGGGGGGTCTTTGCTTCAGCCGGAGGAGTTCAGGTACCTGAACGTCTTGTTCCTGAGTGAGGGTAGGATGGAGCAACAACAAAGGCCTAGTTCTCAGTAATGAGGGCGTTGTAGCGGTCAATCGTGGTGAAGAAAGAGTTGCGTCCAAAGCAAAATTCTGTATTTACTGGTCCCTCTGTGTTCCAACCCTCAGCTGTTGTCATGAGGTTTGGATCAGGACCTAAAGAGTCCGACCAAGGTTCGCCAGGAAGAGCTGGAGGGGGTCTTTGGGGAGACGGAGGTCTGGGTTTCTCTCCTGGAAGTTTCCTCAGTATTCAGAGCTTTAGCAGCAACTTGTGGAATTTAGTTCAGATGCGTTTTATTGGTTCACATCTCTAGTGAGAACGTTCTGCACCTCGGTGGAGTCCACCTGAGGTGTATTAAATGTTTTGGCTACAGACCTCCCTATAAAAGGACTGCCAACTGGCAAACCATGAGGTCAAAGGCCCCAAAAACTCCATCCCAGCAGCGAAGCATAGAGACGGCAGCATCATGATGTGGAAGGGTTTCTCAGCAGCAGGAACCCAAGAGCTCTCCATGATTTGGTTCAACCAGGATTCAGAGCTGGTGTCCCAGCCTCAATAAGCCATCGAGAGAAAACTGACCAAGAACCTGTTGGCCCCGTCTCCACACAGGATTTCTGAAACTCAGAAAGACCACATCCCAGAACTGAAGGTCTCCACCGATATGGGTTTTAAAGCAACGTGGAAGCCTCTCCTCAGAGCAAAGCTCGTGAAAGGTGCTTGAAGGACGCTGGTCTGATGAACCCAAAGACTGAATGGTTTGTTCCCAGTTCTAAATTTTGCTTCTGGTGAAAACCAACTGTTGTCCACATAGAGTAGCATGGTGGTGGCAGCATCATACTGAGGGAGAGACTGGTTAGGGTTGATGGAAAGCTGAATGGTTGGACTTACAGAATATCTGCTCTTCTTTATACACAGGAAGATCTTCTTCTGGAACTCCGGCAGTTGATGGTATGCTCTGTCGTTCGCCTTCACCTTCCAACCAGCCTCTGAGAAACATCATTTACAAAATGACTGATGAAGCAAAACAAGAGGTCTGTGTCTAAACCAATTATTCTAGAGCAGGTTCCTTCAGACAAACCATGGGGTCGTGTCTCCACCGGGGGCTGAGGGACTTCTTGCGGCTCTTCGGCTTCACTCTCAGAGGTCTCGTCCAGTTCGTCATCGGTCTCATCGTCGCTGTACGGCATGACCTCATCGTTGGGCCCCAAGGACCCCTGAGAGTCCACACGCCGCCGGTTCATCTTAGCGGCTCAGGATTCTGAAAAGAAAAGTTTTATTTAGAAAAGTCTGAAAGGTTTATCAAAAAAGAGAATCACTGGTTCATCTCCAACGTTGGCTAAAAGTTTTCTTTAGAAAATTATTTCTATTGGCTTCCTTCAAACTTAGAACAGAATTCACAATTTTCCTTCTAACCTACAAATCTCCGAACAACTCCAGCTCCACCTTATTTAAGAAGAACTTATTGTTGTTCCATATTTTCCTAACAGAGCATTTCACTCTCAGACTGCAGGCTTACTCGTGGTTCCTAAAGTTTCCAGCAGCAGAATGGGAGGAAGATCTTTCAGTTCTCAGGCTCCTCTCTTGTGGAACCAACTTCCAGTTTCTGTCCGTGAGGCTGACACATTGTCCAGTTTTAAGACTCTCCTTTTTGATAAATCCTATAGTTAGGGTCGGCTTGGGTTTCCTGAGCTGTCCCTTAGTTATGCTGCTATATAGACTTAGACTGCTTGAGGACAAACTGACCACATGTCCTCTCTCTGCTGCTTCTTTACTCTCTACAGCTCAGGTTGGTTTTACATTATTTCCATCGTTAACATATTTTTCGTCTTTCTCCCCACGGGAGCTACGCCCCGAGCCACGGGAGCTACGCCCGGAGCCACGGGGGGAGCTACGCCCGGAGCCACGGGGGGAGCTACGCCCGGAGCCACGGG